GGTAGAGAGACCTTTGAAATAGCTCACAGGCATATTACAGGTCAGTGGCCATCCCAAGAGCCAGGTTTGTGTGTTTTTTTCCCAGGGACACCTCGCTCATCCATCTAAGGGACACCTCGCTCATCCATCCTAGGGGCACCCCTCTCTTCCATCCTAGGGGCACCCCACTCTTCCATTCTAGGGACACCCCTCTCTTCCATCCAAGGGACACCTAGCCCTTCCATCCCAGGGAAAAAACATAATCAGAGATGGGGCAGGTTCTTTCTCCTTCCCCAGACATGTGGTGCTGGTGGTGCCCTTTGTTGGTGGTGCCTTTTGGTGATGGTACCCTGTGGTGCCCTCTGGTGGTGGTTTCCTCTGATGATGGTGCTCTCTGCTGGTGGTGGCAGTAGTAGTGTAGAGGAATTACCATATATACACAGAACTCCGGAGACGCTGCCCAGACCTACACAAACACTCCTCATGATATGCACTTCTGGACCACCAGCCGGCGCCCGTGTCATCCCTAACACGGCAACACGCGACTTACCACGGCAACATGTCTCTTAACACGGCAACATGCCTCTTAGCACGGCAGCACGCCTCTTAGCACGGCAACACGCCTCTTAACACAATATCACGCCTCTTAACATTACAGCACGCCTCTTAACACGGTAACACGCCTCTTAATATGATAACACGCATCTTAACATGCTCAGTATAAGGCTAACATATAAGATAGCAAAATTTGTGGATGACACCAAATACGTTGAAAGTGTTGCATCCAGAGACTGTTTAAATACAGAGGTTGGTTCTGTACAGAAGCTAGAGACGTGCAAAATGATTATCAATATAGACAAGTGCAATGCAATGCATTTTAGATATAAAAGTCTGCGAGCTTATTGCCAGCATTTTAACAGACATATACTTGCAGCCTCTCAGCACAATGTCCGACGTTGTGGAGGCGATAGTCAGGAAGACAATGTTTAAATTTAGAAAAAGAACTAAAGGTTTGACGTAGCCCTTGCTAAGTGGGGCAGAGAGCGTTAGTCAAAAATTACAGACCTGTGGCCCTAACATTCCCATCATAAAAACTTGTGATCAGACGCCAAATTTCAAATTTTAAGAACATTTACAACGGTACACAACCCAAACGCATGCCTTGGGTTGTGGGTTGAGACGATCATGTCTGTCACAACTGTTAAACCAGTGGTTCTCATCCCTTTTTGCCCCAGTCACCCTTCTGACCATCTCAGAATGTCATTCCCCTTCCCCAGATTGACTCAGATGGTGCATTCCAAATATGCATATAGTATACTGAAAATCTTTTTTTATTTTTTTTTCTATATTAGTACATATACATTTACTTGGATTATTTTTATGGAGTTTTACAAATTTAATACCTTTAGAAAATGTTGATGAATTTTTCAACTTGAATAAAAGTATTTTTTATGTTCATAACTAATTACTTAACAAACCGAAGTTACTGAAGCATACTACAATAAACAAAAAGTTCAATAGAATGCCAAGGTATTGTAATTTATTTTAATCTGATGGAGATTACAGTCAGTGGGAAACCTGTGATTGATTTTTCTTCGCCAGTTCTTGGATACGCGGAGAAGTACTGGAGAGGGCACATCACAGGTCATTTTCAACCTCCGATCTACTTCGTTGCTTCGTTTTCATTTGCAAAAGAGTTCAAAAGCCTGACTCACAAAGATATGTAGACACAAATGGAAACGATGCATAGATAGCTCTTTCTACCACTGTTGGGTAGGAATCGCATATCAAGGGACAAAATTCTGTGATTGATTTCTCATCGAACATATCTCGTGGTCCTGAATCAGTCTTCAGCTCTAGAAATTCATCTTGACAATCATCAGGAACTTTTTCAACTGGCAATGTAAATGGATTTCGCACTAATACAACTCATAACTGAGTTCAGGAAAATAGCGGCTGAATTCATTTTCTAGTGCTGTCAAATGTTGCAATTTTTTTCAGATTCTGGAAGCACTTGGTCTTCACCACTAGCACCAAGAATTAATAACAGTTTCTCAAACATTGAGATATATATTAACCTTTGGACGACGACCTACTTACACTAGTTGCAGGTCCCACTGTGATCCCGCCTCCTCCTGCTTGGACTCATCTCACCGCAGTATATAAGCCACCTCTCTGGCCCTGTGCTGCACTTCCTACAAGAGTGATGGACTGAACACATCGATTCCAGGTTGAGGGACTGATTACCTCAAAACTTCTACTCTCATTACCCATTTCTACTTTGTATTGGACTGATGAAGCCACTGTGTGGCGAAACGTTTCTTCAATAAAGATTCCCATGTGTTGCATAAGTGTCTCAATTCTTCAACTTGTCGGTTTTCAAAACCATTCATCACATATATATTATCTTGACGTTTCTCTTCCAGTTTTCCAGCTTATGAAAGCTCGCAAGGAATCCATGAATTTTATGATGTTTGTATTCCTTCCTTTCACCCGAAGATTCAGTTTATTCAGCTGCTCAAAAATGTCAATCAATAGGCCAGGCGCATGATCCATTCCTCACCATCCAGCCAGGCAAAAAATTCCATCTTACCCTGAACTTCAAAAAAAAAATAATCTGAGTTTATCTCTAAGCTCAAATACTCGCTCAGTTACATTTTCTCTTGAAAGCCATCGAACGTTTGTGTGGAAAAGAAGCAAATGATGACCTGCATTCATGTCAATACATGTCGTCAGTTGAGAGCTGCTCCTCTGACAAAATTCACAATTTTAATTGTTTGATCCAAAACCTTCCCTAGTGGAGCTGGAAGCGTTTTTAAGGCCAGTACCTGACAATGGGTCATACAGTGAATGCCTTTCACTTTTGGAGTTCGCATTTTCACACAAACTTAAAATCCAGATTTTGTCCCCAACACAGCTGGTGCTCCATCTCTATAACATCCTCACACATTATCCCACCAAAAAAAAACTGATTCAGAGAAAGATGAAACCTTTTCCAAAATATCTGAGGCCTCGGTTGTTGTTTCAGAAAAGCTTGTGTCCTTGTGTTGTGGATGAACACTTTGCAAATGTTGCTTCAACTTTGTTGGTCTCATAGAATTATATAACAAAGCTTCACTACGAATAACACACTGATGCCTTTCTTCTCCATTGATGATGGACCTAAAACCATATTGAATATATGAATCATCGTACCGTCTTTTTGACACTCATGATGAGACTCCAAATTTTGTGAATATAAAAATAAGAAGTCAGATAAAAAGTGAAATATTTATCTTTATTTTTAATTTAATCTGTGACATTCAGTAAACTTTATTGAATGTCACAGATTAAACTAAAAAACAAACTAAAACTCTTCAGACTGTACATGATTTACAGACATAAGGTAAGATAAGCAGATAGATTTTCAGTTTTCTGACACAGAATGCAAATAATAGTAGCTACAGGGTAGAAAATCCTGTTATGAACGACGTTTGAAAGTTCCAAGTTCCAAAATTTATAGCAAACACTACGATACACACTGCTTTTTCCCATTTGTGGATGACATAAATAAGAACACGTACGTTTTTACACCATGATAGAAGGAACTGAAAAATTAAAAACTAAAGGGAGATTTTATCGTTTTTTAGTTATCAGTGAATCAACAACTTTTGAATTCAAGTTAATAAAACTACTAAACTCTGCTGACAGATTTGAAAGAATGAAGAAATCAAAGGGATCAGTTAATGACTCAAGATCGCAATAGATATAAAGGTAAAATAGAAACGACTGAAGTAAAAGTCAGTCCTTTCTTTCAAAAACATAAGGCAATTATACACAAACAAACCAGCGAGAAGACAAGAAAATTGTTTAAGAGGTTTTCAATGTTGACGGCCACTGTTCAGGGTGGTGATAAGAATATTTGGTAGTATAGAAAAGAAATCAAAGGACATACAAAACGAACCAGTCTCAGTAAACAAGGTAATAACATTTAAGTAATTATGAATCCCTTAGTCGAAAAAGGGCAAATTCAACCAGGCGAAAATTTTTTGATGATTGCTCAATGGGGCCGTGTTCCAGGGGCAAACACCTTAGTATGAACTAGGAAAGATGACAGTTTAAGACCCCATGTGCAGTCATTGTTTATAAACTTATGTAGCGTGCCATCCAGTGCTTTATGATACCTTTCTAAAGACCTAGTTGACCTGATAAAAAGATGAAAGTCTAGTCCCTAAAGCACGGGATCTTTTTGAAGACGCACCGTGGTGTTGTAGAAGATTCTGGACATCCTAGGAGGTGACGAGACTGGTGGTAGAGATTCTGGAGCACAGGCAAGGCTGACGGACTGGTGGTAGAGATTCTGGAGCACAGGCAAGGCTGACGGACTGGTGGTAGAGATTCTGGAGCACAGGCAAGGCTGACGGACTGGTGGTAGAGATTCTGGAGCACAGGCAAGGCTGACGGACTGGTGGTAGAGATTCTGGAGCACAGGCAAGGCTGAGGGACTGGTTACCTCATCTTTTGTATATAGTTCTACTGTCTTCTAGTTATGTCCCGAATCTGTATTGATAGAGCCTCTGGATGGCGAAACGTCAACAATAAAGATACCCAGATGTTGCACATGTTTCTTAACTTTCATCTTGTCGGTATTGTATACCTTTTCTTGCATGACCTGCCAAGTATCAGACGAGTCTAGCCCATGGCTGGGCTCCGGGAGTAGACTCTTGAAACGGTTTATTTTACCCTTCCTCCCATCTCTCTCACTCCAGTTTATGGCAGTGTGCAGATCTGGGACTAGGACCTCTTGTATCTCCTCCGCTCCTGTGAGTATACCTTCGATGAGTTACTTTTACCATCAAAGGTATAAAGGTAACTAATCAAAGATATATTCACAGGAGCGGAGGAAAGATACATGATGGCCTAGTTACAAATCTGCACACTGCCACAACAACAAATTAGAGTGAGAGAGATGGGAGGAAAGGCACCGTGGGCACAATAAGAGAACACTGTATCAACATCTATCGTCGTAGACTATTCAGCACCTTACCTGGAGTTTACCTGGAGAGAGTTTCGGGGGTCAACGCCCCCGCGGCCCGGTCTGTGACCAGGCCTCCTGGTGGATCAGCGCCTGATCAACCAGGCTGTTGCTGCTGGCCGCACGCAAACCAACGTACGAGCCACAGCCCGGCTGATCAGGAACTGCCTTTAGGTGCTTGTCCAGTGCCAGCTTGAAGACTGCCAGGGGTCTGTTGGTAATCCCCCTTATGTGTGCTGGGAGGCAGTTGAACAGTCTCGGTCCCCTGACACTTATTGTATGGTCTCTTAACGTGCTAGTGACACCCCTGCTTTTCATTGGGGGGGTGGTGCATCGTCTGCCAAGTCTTTTGCTTTCGTAGTGAGTGATTTTCGTGTGCAAGTTCGGTACTAGTCCCTCTAGGATTTTCCAGGTGTATATAATCATGTATCTCTCCCTCCTGCGTTCCAGGGAATACAGGTTTAGAAACCTCAAGCGCTCCCAGTAATTGAGGTGTTTTATCTCCGTTATGCGCGCCGTGAAAGTTCTCTGTACATTTTCTGGGTCGGCAATTTCACCTGCCTTGAAAGGTGCTGTTAGAGTGCAGCAATATTCCAGCCTAGATAGAACAAGTGACCTGAAGAGTGTCATCATGGGCTTGGCCTCCCTAGTTTTGAAGGTTCTCATTATCCATCCTGTCATTTTTCTAGCAGATGCGATTGATACAATGTTATGGTCCTTGAAGGTGAGATCCTCCGACATAATCACTCCCAGGTCTTTGACGTTGGTGTTTCGCTCTATTTTGTGGCCAGAATTTGTTTTGTACTCTGATGAAGATTTAATTTCCTCATGTTTACCATATCTGAGTAATTGAAATTTCTCATCGTTGAACTTCATATTGTTTTCTGCAGCCCACTGAAAGATTTGGTTGATGTCCGCCTGGAGCCTTGCAGTGTCTGCAATGGAAGACACTGTCATGCAGATTCGGGTGTCATCTGCAAAGGAAGACACGGTGCTGTGGCTGACATCCTTGTCTATGTCGGATATGAGGATGAGGAACAAGATGGGAGCTAGTACTGTGCCTTGTGGAACAGAGCTTTTCACCGTAGCTGCCTCGGACTTTACTCTGTTGACGACTACTCTCTGTGTTCTGTTAGTGAGGAAATTATAGATCCATCGACCAACTTTTCCTGTTATTCCTTTAGCGCGCATTTTGTGCGCTATTACGCCATGGTCACACTTGTCGAAGGCTTTTGCAAAGTCTGTATATATTACATCTGCATTCTTTTTGTCTTCTAGTGCATTTAGGACCTTGTCGTAGTGATCCAGTAGTTGAGACAGACAGGAGCGACCTGTTCTAAACCCATGTTGCCCTGGGTTGTGTAACTGATGGGTTTCTAGATGGGTGGGTGATCTTGCTTATTAGGGACCCTTTCAAAGATTTTTATGATATGGGATGTTAGTGCCTATTGGTCTGTAGTTTCTTTGCTGTTGCTTTACTGCCCCCTTTGTGGAGGGGGGCTTGTCTGTTTGTTTTTAGTAATGAGGGACGACCCCGTGTCCTGCTTCCTCTCCATATGATGGAAAAGAAGATATCAGAAAACACTGTTGGGACAAGTGTAGAAGGCTTCAAAAGGAAACTGGCCAGTATCTTCAGTTCCATTATCAACCAGGCTGTGATAGAGATGTAGGCCAACAGGCCGTCAGGCGCAGCAACCTGGTTGACCGACAAGCTCGACCAGGTCCGGGCGGCACGCCGTCCTGGGTCAAAAACACATGTGGGTCTTTGTTTCACATGAAAACACATACCTCAAAGTGTGTGTTTCAGGTGAAGTTGTGCTAGCATCTTGTGGTGTCTGGTAGAAGTGTTAGAGAAATTACGTTAGGAGATTGATGCGTACATCTGAGAGGGGTCTCGTTTGGGGAGAGCTGGTGTTTGGGAGATTCTTCGTGCAATTTGTCCATGTCTTATGAGGGGTAACTTCATATTTGTATATAATTCACAAATGATGTAAGAAACTTGCTTTGTGTTTTTATCTATATCTGTTGTAGAGATGAGAACAGAAGGCCCGCCAAGAACCGGGCCATTGGGTTACAAAGCTTTGACTTTGTTAAAGCTAGATTTTGCTTTTGTTTACTACTACTACTACTACTACTTACTACTCTACTACTACTACTACTACTTTATACTACTACTAATATACGACTAACCACTACTATACTACCACTACTACTACGCTACTACTATTACTACTATACTACTACTAATACTACTACCACTACTACTACTACCTCTACTACTACTACTACTTTACTCTATTAATTCTACTACTACTTTACTTCTACTACTACTACTAACTACTACTATGCTGCTGCTACTACTACTATATACTATACTATACTAACTACCACTACTACTACTACCCACTACTACTACTACTACTATTACTACTAACTACTACTATTACTACTACTATACTAGCTACTACTCGCTGCTACACTATTCTACTACTACTACCACTACTACTCTACCACTATACTACCTACTACTACTACTACTACTATATATACATCCACTACTACTACTACTATATTACTATATACTACTATTACTATACTACTACTACTACTACTACTGCTAGCTACTAAAAAACCTTTTTTTTATATACTATAATACCACTCTACTTATTACTTACCACTACTACTACTACTACTACTACTTCGGACCATACTACTTACTACTACTCTACTACTACTGCTGCTGTGCTACTCTTACTACTACTACTACTACTACACTACTACTACTACCACTAACTACTACTACTACTATACTACTACTTACTACTATACTATTACTACTACTACGACTACTACTATTACTATACTACTACTGCTACTACTACTACTACTACTTACTACTACTACTATTAACTACTACTATACTACTACTACTATTACTACTACTATATAGTATACTATTACGACTAACTATACTACTACTATTTACTACTACTACTACTACTACTATTACTACTACTACTACTACTACTACTCTCAGTAGTAGTAACCAGTTACCAGTCTCAGTAGTAGTAACCCTTTACCAGTACCTGTGTCCGTTGGACTCAAGAACCAACCGTCTCTGCTGAGTTCACGGTCTATTGCGCTGAAACTGACACTATTTCAAAAAAGACCCCTCACTGGGTATGGGCAGCCGGGCTAGTCAGTGTTACGAGAGGAACGAGTGAGATAGGTACGGCTGGCAAGGGCTCTCTCCACATGTCTGTAATAATACGTAATAACAGCCTACGTGAGTATTTCTTACCAATCCACGTTCGAACTCCACATGATAATGGTGTACAGCGGTGTGGAGAGTGAGATTTAACGTTTTTAAGGGTAATTCAAGAAGTTACGTGACTGTTGTGAGATACCCGGCAGGGGCAAAGGTGTGGAACCGTTCAAACCCACCAGCCATACCCAACGCATACTACACCTCGAGCCAGCCGCTTTCCCATCACTACCTACTGCTGCAAGCCTGTTGCGAGCAGTTTCAAGCGTCGGGCTAAGTGAGCTGTGCTAATTGTTCAATCTCCGAGGGGTTGACACCGGATTTTGCAATTTAAGCCAGTCAGTAAGCCAGACGTTGGAAGGTGAACGCTGTCAGCCTTTCATCAGCCTGTCCTGTCATCCAATGCTCCTCCGTGCTTGTGCATCGTTTTGTCACGTCTTCAGTCAGACTTCTCGTGGTGTAATGTAAGCAGTCAGCCAACCCAGCTTCGAACCCAGCTGAGAGAGAGAAGTAAGCCATGCAGTAAGAAGTAAGCCAAGTTCCTCTGAAGTATTGTCTATTATGATTTGTGCTCCTGTTGGATGTTAAGGAGTGGTTTTTTACCTTTCCTGTGGGCATAGAGTGGGTTATCAAGCCACCTTCGTGGGTAGAGAGTGGAGTCCCCCGCGCCAGTGAGCGCCAGCAGAGTCACACCACCACCCCCCCTCTACTCACACACCCCACCACCACACTCTCTCCCACATAGCCAACAATCACCAACTGCCACCCCCACTGACACTCATATACCTGTGGTTGTTTGCACATTGTTTACCGGGTCATAGTAATGTTTTGGCTCAAATAATTGGTCAAAGAGATGTAGCTGGCGCCAACGAAAACCCCCAATTATGTGAGTTCCCCGGAGAAGCGCAAGTTCTTCCGACAACAGTGAATGTAGGAGGCGTCAGTTACACCGCGCGGGGGACACCCTATCCACCGCCCCCCCCCATCACCAGTAATCGCCCCCCCCGCTTTACTACTCCAGACTCCAGTGATAATTGTATTGGAATTTTTCTTGCCTTAAAGACATTTGCGTGTGTGAGAATTTATAGGTAAATTGCTTGTGTACTCTTAAACCTTGTGTTTTCAGTGTAAAACGGCAGTAGTATTTCTTTGACTCATTATTTATAATATTTTTCAGTGTTTTCACTTTTCTTATAATTTTTTTTATTCTGTGTTTTTTCTTATGCACTCGTCTGTAGTAAGTATTATTGTGTAGTGTACCGTCAGTCCACTCTGTGTGAAGTGATTCAATTTGTTTTTATTGTAGTTCTTTCAGCGTTGTATTCTCCAGTAATTGTCATTGTATTTCTGCAGTGTATCACCCCAGTATACCAAATTTTCCTTTTATTTCCATGTGTCTTTTTTTCGTATGCCAGCAGGTCTCATTACTCTAATTTTTTCGGCCAGGACTGATTTTGTACCATTATTTTTTGCCTAGCAAATTTTTGTCGTATCAGTCACAGCAAGATCTTGTTGTATCAGTCCACAGCAGGATTTGTTGTAAGAATTATTATAATGAAGTGTTGCGCCTGCCACTGTAGTGTTACCTACCTGTGTTGTTCCTTTGTTTTTTTTTTTAATCATATTTTATATTTCTTGAACAAATTTCCATCTTGATGTAATTTCAATTTACTTTAACGAAAGTGTTTTTCTTACTCTGTGTGAGTATTATTGTTTTGTCTAATTTAAAATTAAGAGTTAAAGTGTTCAATCAGTTATTTTTTTTTTTTTTGACTTCATATTTTAATTTTTATCATGTAAACGCTGAGTTTTCCAGTGCCACTTTATTACTGCAGTGGAATTATTTCTACACTTTATTTTGTTGCATTTGTTCCTGCAGTGAATTATTTTCTTTTAGTAATAATTTTATGAATTATATTTTAATTTTGTTATGCATTCTTAGTAAATTACTTAAAATTTCCCAGTTAACAATTTAATAATTTTATTTTAACTTTCACATTGATTTAAAAATTTATTAATTAATTTCTTTATTGCAAGAGTAAAGACAGCTCCTTTTGCAATTTAATCAGTCTCCAGTAAATATTTTTACTTGTATATTTCAATGTACATTTTTTTCTTGGTCAATAGGCCTATTTAAATTGAGTTTTCTTCCTTTTGCAGTGTATCTTAGACATTATTTTTTATTACTTTGAGAATTAGTTGTATATCTTTTTCATTTCAATTCTAGAATTTTATATCATTTTTATTGTTCTTTTTTTTTGCCTTATTTGTTCTCGTGCTACTTTGCCATTATGTCTCACATACCGTCAAGTGATACTTTAGTGAATGTCGACACTAGACCTTCTCATGATTAACTGCTGGTCCTGTCATCAGTCCTACAGTTCCTTACCGACTGAAAGACCGACCCAGACCGTAGATATTATTATTATACTCGTTGATTCCTCTTGATGCGTTACCTTTATTCAATGGCCATGTAACGCATAGGTCTTGAAGCATGGCTTACTGCCATTCGTTCTCGTGCTAATGCTCTAGGTTGAAGGTCCTCCTTCAGAGGAAGGAAAGCTTATCAGACTTGCTAAAGAAGCTCCTTTATCGATCTCCTGCTGACTGTTCACGTTGTTGATCTTCCTTGATATGCGAGTGATTTCAGGACTCTTACGAAGTGGTCACAATAATGTGGAACTGATTCGTTTCTTTCCTGTGTCCCAGTAAAACAGTGATCATATGTCGCGTTCTCTTAGGGAACTAGTGAATGCTTACACCCATGAGTAATGATTCGTTGAGTGGATTTGGCTGGTAGATTAGACAAACTTTTATATCATTTATCAATGCTGTCCAATCATCATTTAGCTCCCTGAAAGAGGCTAACCCATTTAAGAAAATCACTTGCTAAATCGCAAGTTTTGGTAGCAATTAAAGAACTAATCGCCACCTGTTCTGTGTGGGCTTATGAGGCTATCCCCAACTGTAACGATGGAAC